GCCCTAAACCCTGCTCTGTCCTGCGCCAAATGCACCGCCTCTGACACACCCATCCCGAATACCCCAGTCACCCAATCAATCCATCTCATAGAGGGTCTTCCCCTCCTGCGTTGTCCCTCAACCCTCCCAAGCATGATGTCCCTCTCCAAGGACCCGTCCCTCCTGGCAACATGTCCAAAGTATGTCAGACGAAGCCCCAGAATCCTTGCCTCCAAGGAGTAGCTTGGTTTAATCCTCTCCAAGATAAATCTGTTTGTTTTCCTGGCAGTCCAGGGTACATTCAGTACCCTTCTCCAGCACCATAGCTCAAAAGCATCCACTCTCCTTCTGTCCTCCCTAGTGATTGTCCAACTCTCTGATGCATTACAAGCGATTGCAGATACCATGGCCTGTATCAGGCGCACCATAGGCAGTATTTTATTTTCTTGTACATAGGGTTGCAATGAGTCCCAACTGATGTGATGATACTTAACAAGTGTCACTTATCAAATTGCCAGGCCTTTCATCTGAGGCACCCATGTGGTTCAAGCTGCCAACTTTTCATTTAGAAGCTCAGTGCTTAACTGTGTGTACTACCTGGGAAGGGACTCCCAAAACCCTGTGCATTCAGACTCAATGTATGTCCTTCAATCTGAGGAGTAAGTGTGGCTCTTCCTCCTTCTGTTGGAAGGAAGGGCATGGAAAGAGGATCAAACCATGTTCACAGGAACATAGGATTCTTTTCCAATATGTTTATCATAATATGTTTTAAACTGTTAGCCTCCTTTTTGTTGTGATGCTGAATAGATTGTAATAGAACTTCTAGACTATGATAGACTACTAGTAAGAAAGGCTTCATAATCTACTCCAAGAAAATCAGTTCATGAAAATCTTATGGATTCCATTGTATACAGTTTACCACAAGCTGTGGCCCACTCTCCAGCTTCTAACAACAATAACATCTGCTGATTTTTGAGGAGAGAGGGAGAGGAAATATCTTTTTTTGTGTGTGTGCTCCCCAAATACCCCTAAGCATTGAGAAATGCTTGGAGAATACTTGGAGAGTTGAGAAACACTTGGAGAATGTATCTGTTTTGTCAATTGAATTACTGCATAGTGAATGAACTATGATGCTTTTGAATGAGCTGATTTTGATTTTGTGCCTTTTGAATATGCCTTTAACATTTGCTTCTGTGCATATGCAAACACATTTTTTATGTATTGTAATTTTTTAAGGAACAAGACAAATTAGGATTAAATTCATTTCTACAGTGTAACTGAAATTGTGTAATTATTTTCAATTTTCATGCGTAATGTTTAATATTGTTATAATTTCATTTTACATTGTTGACTCTTTTTATTTATTTCTTTTATACTGGTTTACTTACAAAGTTTGTATACATTGTTTTTCATACCGGATCTTTCCCCCTTTTTTTACCCAATCAGCCCTCCACCCATTAGTTTGTGGGACTCTATGATTAAGCCCCCACACCAATACTTGGATCCTCATACTTGTTCTATAAAAATGATCTTACAGAGTAATTGTCTTTAGAAGACTGAGTTACTCCAGTTAGCATTATGCTATCCATATTAGGTAGTCATTTACAAAATCACTGCTCCTATGTGCTGCGTAGTATTCAGTTGTACCATAATTTGTAAATGTACTATAATTTCTCAGTTCATTCCATTGTGGTTGGGCATTTGGGCTGTTTCCATGTTCTTGGTATGGTGAATATTGCTGCTGTGAACATTGGTGTGTAAGTCTCCATTTGTGTTTCAGTTCTCATTTTCTCAGGGTATATTGCAAGCAATGAAATAGCTGGGTCATATGGTATTTCTGTGTTCGGCTTTTTGAGGAAACACCTAATGCCTTCCAGAATGATTGTACCATTTTACAATTCCACCAACAATGTATAAGAGTTCTTATCTCTACACATCCTTTCCAACATTTATTATTTGCTTTTCTGTGAAACTTTGCCACTGCAACTGGGATAAGATTGTATCTCATTGTGGTTTTGATTTGCATCTTTCATGCAATGTATCTGTTTGCTGTCCAAATGCCCTCCTCTGTGAAAAGTCTTTCCATGTCTCTTGCCCATTTTGTAGTTGAATTATCAGTCTTTTTCTTCTGGAGGCCCAGGAGAATTCTGTAAACTTTTGTTCTAAGACCCTTATCTGAGATGGTATTGTTAAATGTTTGTTCCCAGTCAGTAGGATTTCTATTCACTGTTGGGAAAAGTTTTTGATGTACACAGAGATTTAATCTTTAGAAGATCCCATTTATCAATTTTATCCTCTTCAGATTGTACATTTTTGGCTGTATTTGGCAGTCATTTTATACTATGGTGTTGAAAGAAGAAGTTCAAGCTGCTTTGAAGGAAATGGCAAAAAATAAGGCTCCAGGAATAGATGGTATACCAATTGTCGTATTTGTGCTCACCAAATTGTGCCAAGAAATCTGGAGAACAACCACTTGGCCAACTGACTGGAAGAGATCGATATTTGTTCCTATCCCAAAGAAAGGTGACCCAACAGAATGTGGGTCACTACAGAACAATCTCACTGATTTCATATGCAAGCAAGATTTTACTGAAGATTATCCAAAAACGACTGGAACAGCACATCAACAGAGAACTACCAGAAGTCCAGGCTGGGTTTAGAAGGGGTCGTGGTACTAGAGATGTTGTAGCTGATGTTAGATGGATCTTGGCTGAAAGCAGGGAATACCAGAGGAATGTCTGTCTGTGTTTCATTGACTATGCAAAGGCATTTGACTGTGTAGATCATAACAAACTATGGCTGACTCTGAGAAGAATGGGAATCCCAGAACACTTGATCGTTCTAGAGCGAAACTTATACTTGGACCAGGAGGCAGTCGTCAGAACAGAGCAAGGGAACACTGCATGGTTCAAAACTGGGAAGGGCATATGCTAGGGATGCATCCTATCTCTATACCTTTTCAACCTATATGCAAAACAGATTATCCGGGAGGCGGGGCTCTATGAGGAGAAATGTGGGGTCAAGATTGGTGGACGATTTACCAACAATCTGCGTTATGCGGATGACACAACCCTGCTTGCTGAAACTGAGGAGGACCTGAAGCGCCTGCTGCAGTGTCAAGGACTGCAGCCTACAATATGGATTGAGGCTCAATGTCAAGAAGACAAAGATTCTCACCACTGGACCAATTGGCAGCATCAGGATGGATGGTGAAGAGATTGAGATTGTACACAGCTTTAGTTTGCTTGGCTCCATAGTCAACAGTCTTGGCACCAGCAGCCAGGAAATTAAAAGGCGCATTGCCATGGGAAAGTCTGCTGTTAGGGACCTCTCCAAAGTACTGAAGAGTGATGGTGTCTCTCTGAAGACTAAGGTGCGTTTGATACAGGCCATGGTCTTCACAATCACCTGTTATGCATCAGAGAGTTGGACAATGACCAAGGAGGATAGAAGGAGAATTGATGCCTTTGAGCTGTGGTGCTGGAGAAGAGTATTGAGAATACCATGGACTGCTAGGAAAACAAACAAACAAACAGATTTGTCCTGGAAAGGGTTAAACCGGGTGGCTCCTTGGAGACAAGGATTCTGAGGCTCCGTTTAACATACTTTGGACATGTTGTGAGGAGAGACCGGTCCTTGGAGAGGGACACCATGCTTGGGAGGGTGGAGGGACAGCGCAGGAGAGGAAGGCCCTCTATGAGGTGGACTGATTCAGTGACTGGGATAATTGGGATGGGAGTGTCAGAGACAGTGCGATCGGCACAGGATAGAGCAGAGTTTAGGGCTGTTGTACATAGGGTCACTATGAGTCAAGAGCGACTCGATGGCACGTAACAACAATAAACAACAGGCCTTCTAAGCTTGGTCTGTGTTTCTTGTGAACTTTATTGTTTTGGGCTTTATTTCCAGGTCTCTGATCCACTTTGGGTTGATTTTTGTGAGATATGGATCCTGTTTCCGCTTTCTACAGGTTATGCCAGCACCATTTGTTGAAGAGATTGTCATTTCCCTATTTGATAGGTTTTATTTTCTCGTCAATTATCAGTTGACTGTAGATAGATGGGTCTATTACTGGGTTCTCAGTTCTGATCCATTGGTCTATGTGCCTGTCTTTGTACCAGTAGGATGCAGTTTGTGTTAGTACTGCTGTGTAGTAGGTTTTGAGGTCAGGGAGTGCAATGCCTCTTGCTTCAGTTTTGTTTTTCAGAAATGCCTTGCTTGTTCAGGGTCACTTTCCTCTCCAAATAAGCTTGACAGCTTTTTCCTTTCCATCTCCTTGAAAAATGTATCTGATACCTGTGCTGGGATTGGGTTGAACATGTAAATTGCTTTTGGTAGGTTTGTAATTTTCAATATTGATCAGGTCACTTTTTTTCCATTTCTTAAGTCTTTTATTATGTTTTACACTAATGTTCTGCAATTTTCTTTGTATAGATCTTGAGTGTCTCTATTTAGGTTCACTCTCAAGTATATCAATTTGTGGTTGGCTATTGTAAATGGTATTGCTTTCTTCATTTCCTTCTTTAGTTCTTTTTATTACTGTAGAGGAATCCGAATGATTTTTGGGTATTGATCTTATAGGTCTACTAGTTCTAACAGTTATTTTGTTGAGTCCTTGGGGTTTTCTGTGTACATTATCATATCATATGCGTATGTTGTTTTTGTTGTTGAGTACCGTCGAGTCTCAGGTGACTCATGCCCTATGAAGGGCAGTCCTCAGTGCTGGGGTGTCTTTCATCTTCTTTCTAGGGTCATAGGATTTCCAGAGGCAAGCTATTATGGAAGTGGATGCCACTCCTACTTCCAAGCTTGTTTTAATCGGGGATCTCCACCACACTCTGTCCGCATTGGGTAGCCAACCATTAACACATTTGACACATCAGTGTCACAGTGTTCAGCCTCACAGCAACCACAAGTTACCCTATACAGCAACTTGTATACCAGGGCTATACGACCTATGCATATATGTGTTAAAATTTAAGCATGTTAGCTCTTTAATTTGTTATGATTTCTTATTACAGGAATGTAAAGAAGTCTATGCTTTTTTCAGTCATCAACTACTGGACAGTCTTCAGAAAGCTACACGATTATCTTTGGATACAATGAAAAGAAGAATATTTGTTGTCAGGTAAGTTGAAAGACTAAATATACCTATCATAAAGTGATGCAAATTATATCTCTAATTTTTATTAACATACTAATTAAAAATTAAAGTACAGAATTTTTAAAAGCATTATGCAAAAATTTATGCATAATGTTGAGATAATAGTGGTCAAAGGAAGAGTCACACTCCAAGAACCCTGGCTAAGGTAATGAACTCTCCTGGATTTCTTCAAAGCTCTATTGCTGCTCTTCTCAAAGATAATTTCTAGCCTAAATTTTGCTTTTATTATTGTCTTATTTTTCCTTATACCTCACTATGTACTTATAACCCTATATTGTGTATCACTTAATGTTGCCTATATAGGAACTGTGCCCATTATTCTATTTCTGAGATTCATTTATGTAGATAATAATGCGTTTTTATTTCTCTTTCATGACTGGGATATGGAACTCTGATAGCACAGTAGTTAAGCACTCAGCTATTAACAGAAAAGTTGATGCTTCAGATTTACCAGCTTTTCCTTGGGAGAAGGATGTGGCAGTCTACTCCTGTAAAGATTAACATCTTTAGCCCTCTGGGTCAGTTATACCTTGTCTTCCAGGATTACAGTGTGTTGGAACTGCCCAAATGGCATCCAGTCTGGTATATATCTTTTCTTGTGTTTTTTTTTTTAAATTTATTTTTAAAAAATAGTTGAAATAAAGAGCGTTTGTTGTGGGGTGGATGTTATAGATTGAGTTATATTTCCTCTATGGACTTAGTGAGGTCATGATTTTCTGTATTATGTAATTATCCTGTATGTTTTAAATACAAACCTCTGTGGTATTAGTGAGGGAGTAAAGGCAGTTAGGTAATTATGTATTCATTCTTCATTATGTGAGCTGAGTTGTGATAAACCAAATCAGTTCTAAGGGGATTAGGAGGGATGCAACCACCTTAATTAAATCACAGCCCTGATCTGAAATAAAGAGTTTCTCTGGGATGTGCTGTCTCTCTTATGGTAGCTGGCGATAACTTAGACATTCAGTTCTTCTTATTCATTGCCCATCTTTCACATGTATGTGAAGTGATTGAAAAATACTATGGCTTTAGTCAATGAGAATTAGTCTTCAAAGTGGTATCTTAGGTTTTGAACAATTTGAGGATGTCTTTTGCAATAAAGTTGCCCAATTGCTTCGAATCATCTGATTTCTTGATTTCTGTTTTCATGGACTTAGACTGGGGATGGGAGTAAAATGAATTGACAACTTCTATCTTTTACCTGTTTATCATGATGCTGCTTAGTCGTCCACTTGTGAGTATTTGTGTATCTGGTGTTTTATTTTCTTTATGAAGCACCATAAATGCATGTAAGTTTTCATAGTCCTCACTTGCCTGAAAATGCCTTTCTTTTATGCTTACATATGAATGCTTGGATCACAGTCTTCCTCTGATAATCTGCAAAAGCTCTGTTCATTTCTTTTGTTTAATTTTCAGATGAGAGTTCTGTCACTAATTGAACAATTAAGGAACAACTTATTTTTGTTGCTTATTGAATTTCTCTTTTATTATAGAAACATATAAATGATGCAGTTAGGTGTAGGTCATTATTTAACTCCCCATTAATATTAGCTGGCATATAGAGGAAAAAAAGCTGTTTTTAAGCTTAACCCATTGTCTTGGAGTTGATTCCAATTTTATTTCAGTTTTTAAGATAGAGTGGAGCTCCAGTTGGTAAGGACTTGTATTGCTAATTTAATGTCAGGTGGTTCAAATCCACTGGCTGTTCCTTGGGAGAAAATGAGCACTCTACTCTGTGATTTATGGCCTCTGAAACTGTCTAGGTAGGAGAAAACATGACATAGGATCACAGGGCCATGCATGTCTCTCTGAAAGGGCCAGAGGGAGTAAGAAAGCACAGTCCTTCAGCACCCCAGGGTAGAAAGCAGAGAAATTGCCCAGACCCATCAGCAAGAGGTTTATTTATTCGTTGTTGACTCACAGACTCACAGCTGTGGTACTAAGAATCAGGTTTACCGAGAAGTAAGTTGGAGAGTGGGGAAGGCAAAGGATATCACCCAATACAAGTCCCAGTTTTAGCCCAAGTTTCATGGCACAATTCTTCAATTACTTCAAGCTTTTCTTTCAGTTCATCAGTCAGATCCAAATCACCCAGCATAGTTTGCCTTAGAGAAGTTGTAAGTCATATTCTCCTTTAAGCATCTAGCAAAACCTTTAACTGTGGCCAGTACAAATGCAAGAAGGCTCAAGTCACACCTTGCCACAGTTTCTGCACAGCAAAGCTTCAGTCTCTCTATCACCGTCACCAGGGTCTCACTCTCACCAGGGTTTTGCTCTAGCCTCCCTGAAGTCTTGCTTCTACAGGTCTTGATCATCTCAAGTCTTGCTTCACAGTGTGGGAAGTATTCTTTCTCTTATGCAAATCTTATAGTTGTTGATGATTTGCAAGACTGTGCTTATTTGAAGACCATGTATCTGCAGTTATGGTGGTTGAAGACCAGAGTTTGCTAACTTTAATGGCTAAAAAAGGCCAACTTTTAGGTTAACACCACAGAAACCCACAGGAGAGTCAGCTGTCAGTTCTCACTCAATTGAAAGGAGAGAGAGAGAAAAGTATATGACAGAGTAGAACTGACTCATTTGGTTTCTGAGGCTGTAAATCTATATGGATGGACTAATTTCCTCCTGCATAATTTTTCTCCTGAGGAAAGACTGATGGATTTAAAACATTGACTTTTCATATACAACCCAATGCATAACCCACTACACCATCACAGTTTCTGTGTTTCAGGTTAAGAAAGTATTGTCCTTTAGTTACTTTATAGAGTACACACTGTGCATGTAGGAGCTGAGTGTCATTACTTGTTATCTCCATGTCTTGGCTTCCTTTTCATAATAGATGTAATAAGACCAAGACTTTCCTCAAAGAGATAGTGTGAAGACTTCTTGTTAGTTCATGGGAAATTTCTGTGAAAAGTGATTAATACACATTAAGTATCCAATAAATGTTATCCATTATGTTTTTTAAATTCTCTATAAGTAACTGCTGTGTCTTTGTATTTTGTTTCTGAATCTTTAGAGCATATCTTAAGTTGATCTTCTGATTTACTGAATAAGTAATAAAATTATTTAAGATGATGTTCACTACTAGTTCAGCTGTGTATTTTTATTTTATTAAACTCTTGGTTATTATCACATTAAAAAAATTACTATAAAATAAAAAAAATCACTGGCTAGAGTTATCTCTGATTCATGGCAGTCATGTATGTGTGAGGCTAAATCTGTGTTCCATAAAGTTTTCAATTGCTGGATTTTAAAAATTAGATTACCAGGCCTTTTTTCCAAGGCATCTCTGAATGGACTTGAACCTATAGCCTTCTAGTCAACAGCAAAGTGTATTAAATGGTGTGAAAGTGGTGATATAATCTCAGAAGATAATCATGAACAGTCCAAGGCTGATTTCCATCAGATAGAGGTCAGACATGTCTGCATTCTTTAACTTTTTTACCAATTCTAATAATACCAGTCAGTTCTCACACAGCTCACTGTTCTTTTCAATTGTATATGTTAACTTGTTGCCATGACCACACCGAACTCCTAGGCCATACAATTATGGCACTCCTTAGAAACATAATGAGTTTCTAATATTACAATTCAGGATAAAAAATAAACTGGGAATAGGAACAACTCAATGTAAAGTTCTTGCATCCGGATATCTTCTGGGTTGCTGCTCCTGTGCCCTGCATTCTTGGCTTATGTTTTAGGCTTTTGGCCTCTAACCTTTTTTGGGCTTGCAAGTGTTACAAAGTCATTTAGTTCTACATATATAAGTACTCAGAAACATCCACTTAGCCTGTAAACCTGCTGCACAAAAGGATTCATCTCTCCTGCTCTGTGAGTCATCTCCATGCCCAGTGTAGCCAGCTTGTTCTGTGGACCAGAAAGCCACCATGCAGTCTTCTGCTTGTTTCTTGGTTCATCTGCTACTGTTTCCCAGCCCCTGGATCCTGCCTTCCTTGCCACAGTTGCTCTCCATTGTCTTGTGCCAGCTCTAGTGTTAGTTTTCTTTTTGCCTTCTGGATCTGGGAAAGTCTCAGTATAGGGAATGTGGGCCCAGAGGACACATTTCACTCCTAGCTCTTGTTCTTGATGGTTGTGAGAACTTCTTCCTGCTTTCTAGAATTGCTTCTTTTTAAGCCTGGTAGTTTAAAAACTGGTAAGTTTCTTACAAGGGTTCCATATACTTTATTTGTACATTCTCTACCCAGAAAGTGTCCCATGCACTGTATTTGCATTAATTGTAGACTGTCCAATCCTGTTGGTGGGTCCACAGTGCCTTATTTGTTTAGTCTCACCAGTCATTTCGTGGGAGTTCCCAGACTCTGATTAGAAGGACTGATTTCACATGCAAGCAAGATTTTACTGAAGATTATCCAAAAACGACTGGAACAGCACATCAACAGAGAACTACCAGAAGTCCAGGCTGGTTTCTGAAGGGGTCGTGGTACTAGAGATATTGTAGCT